CCAGGGGGGGGGGTGCGGGGCCGCCGGCAGGGGATCTCCCGCTCCTGGAGGGCAGCACTGCGGGCTGGAAGGAGCTCGGGGGACGGCGCGGTGGGGCCCTGGGGCCCGCACGGGTCTGCGCTGTGCCAGGGCTGCCCGGTCTTGCTTGCCTCCCGAGCTTGTGCGGGAGCATGGCGCTCGCCGAGCGTGTCCGATGTAATGGCGAGGCCGGGCAGGAGCGAGCATCCCTGGGCTGTGGCCTGGGCCTGTGGCATCCCCCCTCAGACATCTGTAGTCTGTTATCCAGCCTTCCCCCATTAGTTGTTGTTTAGTCAAGCAGCGCAGATTTAGCTCTTTTAATCTTCCCTTGTAAATCAATCTCTACAGCCCCTTGAGCCCAGGCTCCGTTTTTCTTCCTAGCGTTCCAGTTTGCAGGCATGCTGGCGTCCACTCCGAGCGGTCAGCACTCAGCAAGTACGTAAAGAGGATGGGCTGACAGCTTGGTGTGGCTCTGCAAAGAGGTGCTGGGTGGTTTATCTCTGGCCTAGTTATTAGTCACGAGCCTGGTGTTCAGAAAAATGCAGGTTTGTTACTTGCGCTGCACGGAGCAGGTACCTGCCCCAGCAGGTCTGTGGCCAAGCTGCCAGTGGCCCCAGAGTACTGCCGGGCTCACAGCCCCATTTGCTAGCTGAGCAAAGGTCTCCTCCTCAGGCAAGCCTTGGGAGATGTTTCAACACGGGCAGTAATATTGAATGTTGTGCAAGATGCACTGAATTGTCTAACTCATGGGCCCCTCACTCATGAAATAAATATATAAACTGTATCTAAGAAGACAAATATAATGAAGGCATCATAAAAAGAGGCAGCTCTGGTATAAATTCTTGCTGGTAGAGCTGTATGTCTGAAAGGTGGATTATAGAACTGCAGTTTGGAAGATTGAATGGCCCATAAACATTTCCATATTTCATTAGCCAATTAATGGACAGCTTTTTTCTTTTGGGGGGGTGGGGCACACATGACTCTGCTGATTCTAAGCAAAAATTGTAGGAAGCAAATAGAAGCAGCTGATGAAACCTTTCTAGGGGCCTGTCCTGTTATGGATTGTCCCAGTTAATGCCTATGCTGCTCTCTGTCAAGATGCATTCTGCCTGTCCAGTCACTGTTAATAGATTTTTCATAAGTGGCTAAATTATAAAAACCTCATAACTCAGTTTAATGCTACCAATAAAATTATCTCTGGACATCTGGCCTGGATTCCAGTCAGCTCCTGATCCATGGGGAGCTGCTGTTTACTCTTTCTTTTCCTAATTTCAAATGTTGTCTTAATTAGAAAATGAAGCAGGGTTTGGCTACAAAAGCATCTTCCCCAGGGTCTGCTTTTCATCCTGAAGATAGGCCTAATTTGCCACATTTTCCTGCAGGCTTTGCTCAGGTGGGGGCTCTGGGTGTGGTGTTGTGTGGGGTTGACCGCTACCTTGCAATGTAAACCTTGCAAACATGCAGCACGTGCGTGAGCTCTCAGGCAGGGAGATCTGTCAGCACAGACTGCCCAGAAAACGGAGGGTGAGTGTGGCCAGAGCAGAGCTGGCAGATGAGGATAAGCAGCTGGCTGTGTAGGTGAGGACAGATGCTGGTGGTGAGCTGCCTTTATACCCTGGTCTGCTGTGCAGGTTGGGAGAGGTGATCCTACACTGCCATGGTCCTGGGTCCTTGCCCACAGGAAAGCCTGTTTTTTTGGAGTGCTGTTGAGTTGTCCTTCCCTTTTCCAGCATCTCCTAATCTTGTAGTGGTGGTGTTTGTCCCTTGGTTTGTGGTGTGAGTGGATACTGGCAGGATTTGTGATCTGCTGAGTGTATGGTGGCATAGGTGGGACTGAAATTGCAGTTTATTGGGCCTTCCTCCGTGCACAGGCATCGTTTGGTGGTGCTCTGTGCTGCTGTCCAGTCCGGCAGTAGCAGAGGGAGCAGACAGGCATCACACAGGGACCAGGGGCTCCACACTCATGCGGTCTCAGCCATGGGGGCACAAGCATGGCCCCAGCCTGCTCCCACCCTCTCCCTACTGGCAGATCCACTCGGACTCGGATGAGGGGGACGGCTCCATCAAGTACACTATCTCCGGGGAGGGCGCAGGGACTATCTTCCTCATCGATGAGATCACAGGTGACATCCATGCCACCGAGCGCCTGGACCGGGAGCAGAAAACCTTCTACACACTGCGGGCTCAGGCCCGTGACCGGCAGACGGACCAGCTGCTGGAGCCTGAGTCAGAGTTCATCATCAAGGTGCAGGACATCAACGACAGCGAGCCACGCTTCCTGGAGGGGCCCTACATCGGCAGTGTGGCTGAGCTGTCCCCCATCGGTAGGTCTCCTGGGTGGGAGGAGGTGGGTTGGGAAACCTGTACCTCTCTTCTGTCAAACCTTGAGCCTGTTGTACCCTGCAAAACTGCCTGCAAATCCCAGGGATTCCAGCTGAGACCAGAGCTAGGGAGCCAAAAAGGAAAAATAAATAAGGTGGCTTAAGGAAAACAAGTGAATAAATCCTCTGAGCTGATTGCCAGCCTGTAGCTGAGCGCTCAGTCTCAGCCCTAAGCTGTGCCCTGGAGACAGGTCGTGGCAGTGCCAGCTGCCCGCTGTGCATTTACCCTGGTTTTGCACAGCCCCCTTGCTCCCAAATGCTGGGGGGGCCATGGGGGATGGACTGAGCCCTTGCACGCCGAGGGGCTCACGGCTGCCTGTGGTTCAGATTAGCCTGAGTGGTGTTTCTCCCTCTCTTCCTGCCTTCCAGGCCATCCTCTGTGTGCTGCTTTACTTCTCTCCAGGGCGCCATGCCCGTCCAGCCATCCCCTTGTGCAGCACCGCTGAGCCTCTCTCGCCTGGCTTCTGGCCTTCCTCCTAGGGGTCAGGCATTGTTGGCAGAGATTGGGAATTCATGTCCCCTGTGACACAAGTGTGGCTTCCCTGTGTTACTGTTAGCCGGCCCATCCCCTTACCACCAGACATCTTTTAAGTCTGTTGGTGATCAGCCTTGCTGGAGTGCTGATGGCCAGACTGGGACATGTGCCATAAGGCTGCATGAGTCCATCGCCGCAGGGATGGCAGAGGGGAGCAGTGAGCTTTGCGCTCACCTGAGCGTCTGGAGCGCTACAGGGAGGTGATGCATGAGCTGCAGTATTGCTGCCCTTGCTCCCTGTGCTGGCCCAATGGTGGGTTCCCATACTGCCGAGCGCAGCTTGAGTCCAGGGAGAGTGGCTTGTTTGCGGCACTGCCCAAAATGTCACACTGTTCCCCATCCATGTTGGGCTGCTATCCCCCATTGGCTATCCAGAGCATACAGCAGTCTGCGTGCCAGCATGCGCTGCAGGCAGGGAGCTATAAATCACTGTTCTCCAAAGGCTGCATCCAGGTAGAAGACAGCCTGCAAAAGACTGACTGACATCAAAGATAAGGCAGGTCCCCAGCACTGTCAGCAAGGGATGCATCAGCCAGGAGGCAAGTGACAGTGCCAGGAAGGCAGTGAGCTCCCAGAGGGAGAGCACGTGGCAGGGCCAGGGCTGGGGGAGCAGGGCTGAGCTGCATGAGGGACTCAGCAGGGCAGGCAAATGGTCCTGCTGTGCTTGTGCAGGAAGGTCTGGCTGAAGAAGCATCCTGGAAGCGGGGTGCAGGGGGTGGTGTTTGGCTCTGCAGTGCCTCAGGACAGAGCTCTGGCTCTCCATGGTTAATGGGCAGCATATTGTGAGACTGCTGTGTGGCCTCCAGCAGGTACAAATGTGTGGGAATTGCCCACACTGTAGGAGCTGCTGCTGCCTGGATTTCTGTTGACGGCTGGGGAACAAGCTCTCCTCAGGCATGCCAAGCTCTCCTTCCTCTTCCATTTACCTGCACAAATCCTTTTCCAAGTCAGAGTGACCCCTTGAACTACAGCCATGTGCTCCTGGAGGAATGAAAGACAGCGTGTGGGCAGCAAAGCAGGAGGCATCTTGTTCCCAAAGGGAAGAAAGAAATTAATTTAATCTATTTTGCTTGAACAACATTTAAAAAGGAAGGAATTCTCAACTCTGAGTATTAGACAAGGATCCCAGTTCTTTGAAAATCACTAACAATTATGGAGCTGCCTCATCAGACTGAAGTGAACAAGACATATCAAAGGAGACAGTTTCTATGCAAAATTGGAGATCAGAGGGAGAAAGAAACATGGTCTCACAACATGAAAGGAGGCAATTCCTGCAATTTAAAATACTCAGAAGTTAAAAGTAAAGAACAGTGCTGTGAATGGCATGGGCTGTCCTTCCAAGCTGCATACTCGGAGAGGGGAGCTCTCTGGAGCCAAGAGCCTGTTCTGCTTGCCAGGCTGATGTCTGTCTGCCTGCGACAGCCCTAGAGCTTTCTGTAGCCTGGCAATGCTAGGGAGTGTAAGGGCACCTCTGTAGCAGCCTAGCCCTGGAAGTGGCACAACTAACAGGGCAGAGAGCTTCACACAGCATCTTCAAGTGGTGCTGCCGCATGGTCCCCTGCAGTATGAATGCAGAGCTGGAGGGTACCCACATGCTGCTGCTGCAAGTCCCTGGCTCTGTCCCGGTTCTCCCATGGTTTACCAGTGCTTTGCCCGGGAACGGGTAGCACAAAGGACAGGATGGACATATACTGTAAAAGCATAAACAAGCAAGCCTGAGAAGTAGCTTTCTCCTTAACCTTCTAGGGTTCAGCTGTCGGCGGCTGCCATGCTCCTCCACTGTGGCCCTGGTGTGGACACAGAGGGAGATGGGGCTGGTCATGGACCTGGTGTGTGAAGTTCAGCTCCAGATGCTGTAGGAAGGGCTGAGGATGCAGGACATGGGATGCTGCCTGGGCCAGGGAGGTAAAGTTCAGGACTTTATGGGCAATACCCTGACAGGCCCTGTTTGTGTGGGAGTGCTCCTTTTGTGGCATCAAGGCCTGGTGCAGTTGTGAACATGGCTTTTTTGTGGTTGGTATTGGTAGTCATGATTGCTGTCTCTCAGCTGGACAGATAATAACCCCCTAGACCTGAGGGGTATTTTCATAAGAGTGGATGGGGAGCATGCCTTGCTGCCTTCCCGGACGTGCATGGAAGTGATCCTCTGTACTGGCCAAGGAGGGGTAGGAAGGCTGGGCACCTTGAGGAGAGCTTGGACTGGCTATTAATACATCAAGATCAAGGTCAAAGCCTGGGGACCTACTGGCAAATATACCTGGTCTTGGCTCCATTTGGGTGCAGATGTTTTCCTGGATCACCAGTGTTACTGGTTCAGCTGTGCTCTTCGCTGGGGAAGGGGCTGGGATGGGGCCACCCCATGGGGTAGGGCTACTCTCCAGCTTGGAGTTGTTTCCCTCTCTCTGCTGCTCTGACAGCCTTTGCTCTGCAGCCCAGCCTGAAAAGTGACTCCCTTCTTCCTCTCATGCTCCTGCCATCCCAGACCTCACTGGGATTTGTGCTTGAGGCTGCCCAAGTGGGTGGTTTTTCTTCTCGCTCATGGCAGCTGTTGGCTGCAACTCCCCAGTTCCTGCCAAAAGTATAGTCCCAGCTCCCAGAGGTGGGTACCTTCCTGGGGCATAAAGAGGAATAAAACAAATACAGTCAGATCCGTTCTGTGACAGCAGGAGCAGATCAAAGGACATTATTTGCATAATGGAGTACTAATTGGGAAGGAAAGTAATTTGATTTCCTAGTGTCTAAGAGGGAATAACAAATGAGAGAACTGCACAAACTCTCACAGAGTAGCTGGGAGTACTTTGCAACACACCTGCCCCTTACTCTGCACGGGGGCCAGGGCAGCATGTTTTGGTAGCAACAGCTTATGTGCTGCTTGAGACCATAAAACTAAGTCAGAGTGGACTAAAGACCTCTTTGTTCCAGGAGCTTGTCTTGACAGTGGCCAAAGTGGATGCTTACGGAGGAGGAACAACAGCACACACAGCATGTGTGATGTTCCTCTTGATACTCTCCCAGCCAGTAACCAGTTTCAGCTTGGATTTCTTCAGCTGTGGGTGGTTTCTGTGGGTTTAGTTCAACTTCAGTGTCTTCCATGAACTCATCCAGACTCACTATAAACCTCTGAAAAGGGAGAGGAAAATGGGTTGCTGTTGCTGTCTGATGGATCAAAATGGCAGATGCAAAATGGTCGGGAAGGTGAGGCTGGAGTCTGGCATTTGTAAGGGCAAGAGGTGGTGCTTGGAGCTAATCCTAGCCCATGGAGCCAGGCTGATCCTGTGCTATGCCCCTGGAGAAGTCAGTGTTTTCTATGTGCAAAGCACAGACCTGAGGCTGGCACTAAGCTCCTGCATTTGGAGAAAGGTCATCCAGAATGGAAGCTGACTGAACGGTTTTACCTGGGCTCCCTTGGCATGGCAGGACCAGCTGCAAGAGCAGGCTTCAAATGAGTTCTCTCTAGAAACCTCATCTGGTCTGGGACTGCTGGGGCATCAGGAGAAAGAGCACAGCTGCTGAGGACAGTCTTGCAGACAGCAGGGCACAGAGCCATCAAATGCCACTGTTGGGGTGCTGAGGAGGCAGGTTTGACCTGGTGCTGTGTGAGGCTGGCAGGGAAGGCAGCTGGAGCTGCCGAGGGCTCTCCCTAGAGCTCAGCCTCCCGGGGAAGCAAGGCCTTGTCCTGCCTCAGGGCCAGCAGCAGCAGCTGCTGGAGGCAATGCACTGGGTCCGCTGGGGCAGAGGAAGGCAGGGGCTGGTGGTGCTGCCTGGGTGTGTTTTTGCTAACTCCCCCTCTGCCCAATTCCAGGTCAGGACAGCCAGCTGCTGTGCATGCACATGGGCTAGGCGAGGAGCAGGCTGTCTGCAGGATGGTGCCTGATCTGCAAACCCTTCTGTAGCCCCACTGCTGTCCTGTCACCTCAAGAAGAAACTGTGGGCTGAGAGCTGGCAGGGTGCTCTGGGCTGGCACCCGAGGTGCTCTGTGCTTGCCTTCTGCATGGGTACCCCTGTGCAGATCACACCACAATGCCTGAGTTGAGCAGAGCCTAGTACCAAAGGAAGAGACCTGCAGCTGCAGAAGAGGGTAGGATGAGACCCAGCCAACTGCCTGGGAACTGCAGGAGCTTCACCTTGTAACAGGAAATGCTAAAATTAGCTGTATTTTGGGCTTCCTTCCTGAGCTCCCTGGGGTTTGCTTAACAGCTGTCTGCCACACACAGGCATAAGCCCAAATCCAGCATGTGCTGTGGCCTGCAAGACAGCTCACTGGTTGCATGGACTGGGTGTTGCAGCCCAGAGCTTGCCTCTGGGCTGTTTGGGGAGCATGCGGAGCCTGGAGTGAGGGACATGCTAGGAAATGTGCATCCTTTCATCAGAACACCACTCCTCCCTTAGTGCATTTTGCTCTCCTTATT